CAACCGCACCTCCTGCCGCCCCACCCCCATCCTGCGCCTGCGCTGGGGGGACCCCTGGGCCGCCGTCCCCTTGGCCGTGGCCACCACGGGCTTGCTGGTCACGGCCTTCATCTTGGGGACCTTCGTCAAGCACCACGAGACCCCCATCGTGAAGGCCTCGGGGCGGGAGCTGAGCTACGTCCTGCTGGCCGGCATCGCCCTGGTCTACATCATCACCTTCATCATGGTGGCCGAGCCCGGCGTCGGGGTCTGCGCCCTCAGGAGGCTCTTCCTGGGGCTGGGGATGAGCCTCACCTACGCCGCGCTGCTCACCAAGACCAACCGCATCTACAGGATCTTCGAGCAGGGTGAGACACCACGAGGGCAGCCTGGGGGCAGCAGGAGTGGATTGAGGGTCAAGAGTTTGAGTTAAGGTCAATAAGTTCAGTTGAGGGGTGTAGAATGGGGGTTCCTCCTACCCCAAGGTCCATGAGACCAGCCTGGGGGCAGCAGGAGTTTGGATTGAGGGTCAAGAGTTTGAGTCGAAGGTCAGTAAGTTAAGGGGTGTAGAATGGGAGGTTCCTCCTACCCCAAGCTCCTCAAAGAGATCAACCAGGTGCACAGTGTCAAGAAAGGTGAATTTTGGGCTCGGGGGAGAAACAACAAGAGTTCTGGAGGTGCAGGGGTAGAAGAACACCCAGAACCTGAGGTACCTGAGCCCGTTCCTCCACCTCTGGCAGGGAACCCAGTTGTCCAGGTGTGTCCCCAGGCGCCCCAGAAAGTTCTCGAGGCTGCACCTGTTAACTCCTGTGCCCTCACCCACCCCAGGCAAACGCTCAGTGACCCCACCCCGGTTCATCAGCCCCACCTCCCAGCTCGTCATCACCTTCTCCTTGAGTGGCCTCCAGCTCTTGGCCGCCGCGCTCTGGCTCATCCTCCGCCCCCCCCACGCCCTCATCGACTACGAGATGGGCAGGACCCCCGACCCCGAGGACGCCCGGGGTGTCCTCAGGTGTGACATGGCCGAGGGTGGCACCTTGGCCTGCTTGGCCTACGCCCTCCTCCTCATGTTGACCTGCACCGTCTACGCCGTCAAAGCCCGGGGGGTCCCCGAGACCTTCAACGAGGCCAAACCCATCGGGTTTGCCATGTACACAACCTGTGTGGTCTGGTTGGCCTTCGGGCCCATCTTCTTTGGAGCTGCCCAATCGGCTGAGAGGGTGAGAGAATCTGGAGGGATGGAGCTCGGGAGCGTCTCGGGAAGTGGGGGGCAGGGGGGGCCTCAGGAAGTTGGGTGGAGAGTGGAAGGATCTAAGAGACGATGGGCAGGTGGGTGATGGTGAGACCCTCAAAAGGTTGGCGGGACCTTGAGGGTATCTCAGGGGAGGGTGAGGACCCCAGGAGTTGGGGGGAAGGCCATGAGGGCATGGTGGGCTGGGGGCAGGTTTGGAGAGGGGTGTCAGGGCGGTTGTTCCCTCCCAGGTGCACATGCAGACGGCAACACTCACGGTCTCCATGAGCCTCTCGGCCTCCGTCCCCCTCGGCCTCCTCTACACC